TCGTCCTCATTTCTTCAGTTGTAAAGTGAAGTTAATAATAGGATCTACATTCCAGGCTGTTATGAAAATTTAAGGGAATAATGCAAATAAAATATCAGCGCAGAGCCAGTAAGAAGCACTCAATGTTAGCCACTACTGCTATGATTTGTAATCAAAATTGTACTTGCTAGAGCTAAGAGAGATGTGATATCAGCTATTAAAGTATAATAGAAAAAGACTTCTTTAAATGATTTTGAAAAAGCCATGCTACAATGATAATTTTAGGAGTGTCTATAATTCCTTTAGGCAAGTGTGTCAATATCCTGTCGAATTCAGCATGCACAGCCTGCCCTTACCAACAGCTGGGTTCTTACAAGAGTCTGATTGCACCCTGGAACTGTGTGAACACCCTGGAAATGTTCGACATTATTTCCCTACTTAGGGGAATCTAAACCCCAGATAAAATAGTAGATTAGAATTTGAAAACAAGGTTTAAAGGTGTGTTGGGGGGGGGGGAGGCGCAAACTGTCAGGTGCTGCTACTGCTTCTGAAAGCAAGGATAGAATCCAAATGGTTTTAAGACAAGCTGTGATCTAATTAATTATGTTGCTCTAACAAAACAGCTGTGATCTACAGGGATCTAAAATGTTGATTGTGGTTTGTTTCTTGGTTGCACATTAGCCTCCACCTGTGGAGATTTTCAACTATCCCATACCCAGAGACATTAAATTGGTTTGGGGTGAGCCCATATATTGCCTTTTTTAGAGCTCTCTCTGCAACCGTAAATATGCAGCTTCATTGCAAACCACTGGACAAGTACATTGTATTTCCATCATTTTGCGAGAGCAGACAGTGGGAAAAACCAGTCAGATTATAAGGACAGAAATTCTCCAAGTAAATAAGAAATTTTGGCATTCACACTGTTGACCCAAGAAGGAATATACCCGCCACAATGGATATCTTGTGGTTAACAGGGCCCAAATACATAACCAGAGTCTGGCAGCCCTTGCTTACAGAGGTCTCTCAAGCATACTGCATATCAAGGGAAAGCTACAGACAGAGATGCTAAACCTCCTGCACTGCATTCCAACCTTACAAAGGAGTTCCTGGAATTACATTTCGACCAATAGGCTGAGACCTGCCCTGTCCAATCAGAGCTTGGTAGCTATATCCTTATTTGCATCCATACTGACTAATCAGAGTGGCTCCAAAATGGCCAATCAGATCGCGCGGTTCTGACCAATCAGGGACTACAGCGGGGACTTTACATAAGTAGGCATCAGTCGTTGTCTCAGCGCGGTACACTTTCTGGTTTCTACCAGAGGCAGCACATTTCTCCAGTTTGCAAACAGTTTGGGTGAATGAAGTTTCTCCTTTCGCTACACCTTAGACTGAGGATTCCTGTTGGTATTGGATTGTTGGCAGCGATTTTTGTTGACATCTATTATCTCAATCCTCAAGGTAAGTGGGCAGCAGCCTACTTTATGTAGGTCCCTCCAGCTCTGAGAAGAAAGGTAATCAAGTTCACAAAGCTCTGCTCTAGTTCTCTGTGCGCTCCAAAGCCAAGACCCCTAATTTAACCACCACAAATCGATTGTCTTCTCCAGTGCTCACAGTACTGGGGAGAATATGCTCTTGCTTTCATGGTTTGGGAAATCTACTTCCTTGCGACTAAGGGGGTTCTCAGCCCACAAAGCCAGTGGATGCTAACTACTTCCAGACTAGTACCTAGAGGAGGCTGAGCTCGTTCCTTGGGAGCTGTGTGAGGATGCTTATCATAGCCAGGTGCTCAATCTTGAGACCTTAGACCAAGGCAAGAGTGGGAAGTTGGCAGCTCTCCAGCCTAGAGAAAAGCTTCTAGCTCCTTCCCTCACCTTCACACCCCAAGCAATGAAGGTGCAATTAGAAAAATTTTTTTCTTCTGATTATACATCTCTTATGCACTGTAGCAAACTTACAAGCCAAAGGAAAGCCTAGAGGAAAAAAAAAATCTGCTACCCAGAAATACCCCCTATTAATAATTAGTATTTTTTGGTCTTTAAAAAAAATAAGGTTGGAATATTGTAGTTGGTGTCCTATTTCTTCTCCATTTAAGGTTATTGTTTCCCCTGAAAACATTTAAAATAGCTGCAAAATACCTTCACATGACTGAAGCATAGTTTAACCACCCCCTCCAATTTTCCATGATTAAATACTAGAAAGGACTATGTGGACGTATGTTTAG